CGTATTTAGTCGTTTTTTATTTGTCTTGCTGTCTGGATGTGATTTTCCTAGCAGAAAGCGGAAATTTTAAGCAAATATTTTGAAAGAAAAAAAAATTAATTTAAAATAAAATTAAAAATATTTCTGCAATTTACAACAAAAAGTGCAAATATCTCTTTTTAATTACCAAAGAAGTAAAAAAAAAAGTAAAATTGGGCTGGTAAACGTACATATGTACATATCTTTCGTCTGCAGGATAAGCTACTAGAGCATTTTCAAACGCAGCCGAGCTGAATTCAATTTCATAAAAAATCAAATATTCATTGAAATTGAAATATAATTTATTTTTTCGAATTTGAAAATATTTTAAAATTAATGCATTTTGGTGAACGCCAATGTTGTAAGACACATTAAAGCAATTACAAACATATACAAATCTAGTATTGAATGAGAAATGTGCAGCAGCCTGTGAGGAGGGACACAGGTCAAGAAGCTATACCAACCGGAAAGAGGAAATCAAATTTGGCAAGCAAGCGATTTCTCGTGTGTGTTTGAGTGCGCGCGCGTGTGTGTGTGTGTATATGTCAGCGGCAGCACCAGTGGTAGTGGTTGAAGTACAAAAACAAAAGCTGAAAAATTCTGCAAAAAAAAAATAATAGTAAAAAAGATTAAAAATCAAAAAAACCAGCAATCGGCTGTGACTGTGGCTGTGTATGTGTCTTACTGCGCGTGCGGTGAAAATTTATTTGTTTTTGTTTTCATGCCAATAACACTCCTCAAAACGCCACATATACGCACACATACTTATATACATGCATAAATCCTAGTGATTTTGGTAGATTTATTCGCTTTAAACGCCTAAAAGTGTGCTACCGAAAAACAGTCGCTCTGCGTGCGTATACGCCTAGGAGCAGGCAAAAAGAAAATATTGAAAAAAACCGTTGAAAATTAATACAAAATTCGTATTTTTTCCGTAAAAAAAATTTAAGAAAATATACTTCTCTCCTCCTTCATTCAGATTAGCGCGTGTGTTTTACCGTTATTTAAGAACTTTTATAAATTACTATCTATATATATTACTGTTGTCCACGTGCAGCTGTTTAGCAAGCAAATAGACATAAACAACATTCATCATATGGTGTGCGGTTTGTGGGTGTCATCAGTGGCCTTTAACGCCCTTAGCACAAATAACAACAACCACAACAACAAAAATACCAGTAAGTGATTGAGTATGTTAAAAAGTTTTCGAGAATTATCAAGAATATGTTGAACGGAAAAATTCCGACTATCGAATATTTTGAAGTTACATGTGTAGTAATTTCAAGAATTACGCTTACATTTTTGAAGAATTTATAGATATTATGTAGGAGTTCGAAGTTACGTTCGAAAATTTAGACTTCGAAATTTTCGAAGTTATGTTCGAAAGTACATATAGATTGGAAGTATCTATATTTCGATATTTTCAAAAATTTAAAGTATATATTTCGAAACTTTTCGAATTGAAAGTTTCATTCAGTGATGCGTTTGATTAAATTCTCAATAGTAGTTAAGTAGTACAAACTATATTTAGTTACAAATACTCGAGAGCTATTTTTTCGAAGTTACGTTCGAGAATGTAGGCTATAAATTTTACTAATTAGGAGAATGTTTTCCGAAATTTGAGAGGACTGCTCAACTTTATAAACTTAGTATTTCGAATGTTTTGAAAATATATGTTTGAAGGTGCAGACTTCAAAAATTACTTTTCAGATATGTTAATGATGGATTTAACGAAAAATATACCAGAAAATAAATTTGTTGAGTTGAAGGTACGCGAAAATAGTAAGTTCGAAATTAATTTCGAAATTGCGATACTGAAACTTTACTTTTTACTCAGGTATATGCAGGTTTTCTAAACTTATTTGGTGGATATATAATTTAAAAATTTTCAAAATCATATTCGAAAGCGTGAAATTGGAACTTTTTTTTGCTTCAAAGCTGAAAACTGAAATTTTCAAAAAAATAATGTATACATATATATAATTTTTAAATTTCGAATTTATATGTACTCGTATGTGTGTATGTTAGCAGTTTATCTTTAAGTTTGTGTAATGAAATTCTCTTGTGTTCAATTGGTTTTGGATTACCGAACATTAAATCGTTTTCCATGTATGCTATTCACCACTATCACCTAACACTCTTCTCCCCCACTCATCTTCTCGCCCAACATCTGCACCTGCATAAGTCATTCACACTTGAGTTGCTGCCAATTTTCTGCTTTGTTGGCACTTTTATTGTTGTTGCTGCGCTTGGTGAGTGGTTGCATCTGGTTTTTGTTTTTGTTTTTTCTCTTTTTTTTTGGTATTGTTGTTGTCTGCCACTTGTGTATGCTATTCAGCAGCAAGCAGTGCAGTCGCCTCGTATTGCTTGCGTGTGATTTTCCCTTGGTCTCTTTTTTGCTTTTTTTTATATCCCGTGCGTTTGAGTTTTGTTTTCGTATTTTTCCTTTTTCCCACCCAGTTTTCGTTTAAAATTTAAAATTACAATTAATTTACTTTACATGTCGTCACTTGAAAGGATTCCTCTGAAGACACGTAGGCTTTTTGTTGACTTCTTTGTGACTCAGCTGTTCTTGTTGTTTTTTTTTTTTTTTTTTTTTGCAAGTTTACAGTTAAACGTTTACTCTCTTTACACCTCTTTTCCTTGCTTGCATTCAAGTCATTGTCGTTGTTGCACTCACAACTGCAACGCTTTCTTATCTTTGCTGTGTTCGCATTCGCAGGGTTTCGCACATTATGCGTCGTTCATTCGCCTCGTCTCGGTTTCGTCTGCACGCGCCATGTAAGCCCTTACCACCCACTTAAATGTATGTTGCTAACTGTATGTGTGTATATGTGCATCCCTTTGCATATTCGAAATTATTCTGTCTCATTTGATTTGTTTGATCCGAAAGTTTGGGGGCGTGATTAAGGCTTTTCGAAGAACTATTTTAAGTTTGAATTTTCATAAAATCTCAGGTAATTATGTGTTCCCTAACACATTTTTTTAATTCACATTTTTTAAAATTTGTGTTCGAAAATTATGTTTTTCAAAATTTATATTTTATTAATTTTATATATTTATTTAATTGTAGTTATTATAATTATCTAAATGACGAAAATTAAATTTTTTAAACTAAATTTTGATTTAAAATGTTTTTCAAAATAAATTTTGGAAAGTTACATTCTTTAAATTTATTTTCGAAAATTATTTTTTTCAAGTTTTATTTTTAAAATTTGCATTTATCACAGAATCTAGATCTTATATTAAAAAGAGATGTTTGAAAAAAATTGTAAAAAATGTAAAAAAAAATTTAATCTGGGTTTTTTTTTTTGAATTATATTTATACTTTTTTTCAAAATTTTGAAATTCGAAATTATGTTTATGTTTTAACAAATTTACAAATCTTACACAATATATATTTTTTACGAAATTAATGACAATAAATTGTGCAATTCTTCGAAATTTTTCGAGCAATTTTTAGATTTTATGTCCGAAAAAATCAAAATTAAGAAAATTTAATCCATTGAGCATAATTTTTTAAACACTCTCGGTGTTTTTTTGGAAAATTTTGAAATTCGAAATTGGAAAGATAGCTAGAAATTCAAAAATTAAATAAATGAGAACATAAAAATAATAAATTTGCGCTATTTTTCACCTAGTTGTTCGATTTTTGAGTCTCTCTCTTTCATCTTAAGTCAAAAAATATTTATTTCTAATTACTTCTCTTCGTTTTTCTACTCTTCTACCGTTTTACAATGCATTTTTTTCTGCATTTCCTTTTGCCGTTCTGCGGATATTTTCCATGCTCTCTAAAATATTTGAAAGCATTTCTATATAATTTTCTCCTCACCAATAAAACTGCCGCTAAATCTTTGCCGCAACGTCCTTGACCGCGCCACTACCAAACACATGGCGTTATATTGGACTACGGCACTTTCTAAGAGTCTACTTTTAGGCGCTGCAAGCGCGCAATGCAGACTTGCCTACTAATTCTTTGAATTATAGATTATTCTACAACTATTTTTCGCTCTATTTTAATATTTTTTTGTTCACTTAATATTTATGTAAATATGTACTTACACACATATGTATGTATATATGGCATTGCGTTTTAGAAAGTATTTGCCTTGGTTCTTTTTAATTAACAACAACAAATAAAGTGAATTTATATGCTTGAAGCGTGAATAAGCAAGTCATTTCTATTTGTGCGCCTAAAAGTAGACTTTGAATTTTTATTTTGAATAATTTATGCATTGAAACGTGTGAGAGTAGGTCAAAAAGGCTGGCGGGAGGCAAAACTACGGCAAATGTATGCAGTGTATAGTTAGTTAACGCGTGACACTAAGTCACCAGGGAGCAGAGAGCAGCAGGCAGTAGGCAGTAGTGAGTGAAAATGGTTTAGCTGCTGACAGCCTTGAAAGGCGTGCTATGAATGCATGTACATATTTACTTATATTAAGCGACTGTGACTAATATGGCAATAGCGTAGTCTGTTTTTAGGCGCTGTGGTGTGCTATATTATATACATAAACATATATATTATTAATGACGCCTTTATCCTGTCGCCTTTTTAGCTGAATTTAAATATTAGTAAGTAAAAGTCAATTGTGGCCTGACCAAGAGGCCGACAAATGTTTACTTTTACTTACAAAACCAAGCCACGTGTTTATGAAAGCGGTCAAGGCTTTAGCGTGACGTGCTTGACTGCTGAAAACTAATTATTAATATGCAAAAGTTGCCAATGCCTCGTTTACTTTGGCGACGAAACACAAATATTGATTGTATCTAACGGTAGTTAAGTGAAAAACACATTTCGCATGTTACAGCGCGTTTATTTATTGCATTTTTAATGCTGTTTTGCTGGACAGCTTACGGTGTTTGTATGTGTTGATGTGGAATTTAAGTATTTATTATATTTAAAATAATAATTTTTGATACAAATTTTCATACAACTTTTCACATATACATATATATATATGTTTGCTTTGCTTCCATTCCAGAAACACCAGTATTCAAAGGAGCACCACCAACTCCACCTCAACGGAGCAAGTTGGTTAGTTCGTGCATGAATTCACATAGGCGATACTTAAGTCATAGGTAAGTTATACGTTGTTTGCGTTATTCGCTAATTATTTATTTATATATATTTTCCTTTTAATTTCATATTTTTTTGCACAATTTATGAAGCCACCGACCAAAGCCATGTATTTTTCAAGTCAAATAGTCAGCGAAATAGTATAAAAATGCAAAAAAAAATATATTTAGTTATAAAATATTCATATATAGGGGATGTATGTATGCTCTCAAGTACCAACAATGTAGGCCTGTACATTTGAAATTCTTAGCAAAAAATAATCAATAGCAAAATGTGAAATTTTTTTTAGCTAAATGCCATTTTCGTATTACTATTTTATAATTTCACATATTTTAATGTGCGCCACATACACAAATGTTACTTACATATGGTTAAATCATGACAGTCCGCCACAACCAACCAAACGTTGTTGTCCTAAAATCGCATGCGATGTTAAAAACAGCAGGTCTCTTGCCACTATTTTTCGTCCTGTTAACATACATACAAACATACATACATATTTGTGTATGTTTTAGTAGTGCTTAACACTCACAGTCGACCCAACTGTCGGCCTAACTGACTGACTGACTGACTGACAGCGGCATGACAACAATTTCAGTGAATTTTTTTTTTTTTTTTTTTAATTTATATCCTTGTGTCAGCAAAATATGAGCTGAGTGATCTCCTTCGCTAGTCTGCAGTATTATAAAGCACATTTTATTGTTGTTGTAGTTGCTGTTTATGATTTTTGAATAATATATAATATATACATCCATAAGTGCATATGTACATACATACATACATGCATATGTTTATACAATTTATGCCATACTTAATATATAGAAATAATCTCACATTAATTTAAAATATTGATTTTTGTTGTTTAATGTGCTGGGGAATTGTAAGCTTGTTGCTGAAAAGTGTTGACTTTTGAGCTTTGGTTTTCATATACATACATACACTACATATTTCAACGGGCTAATGGTTAATTGGCGCAAGAGCGAGCCTAGATGTATGCAGTGAATACTGAATTGTTTTTTTTTTTAATTTTCAACTTCGAAATAAAGTTCGAAAAGTTTTTATTACCACGTAGTTTTGAAACAATTTATAGCTTTTCAAAAAATGTTTCTTCTACAAATTTTTTATGTTCGAAGTTATTTTCGAAAATTGTGAAATTCGAAGCTACGTTTGAAAATTGTAAGAATGGTATTTTTTGAAACATTTTAGGGGTTGCTATTAACTTTTTTTCGAAATTTTTTTCTTTTTTTTTGAAAAATTTAGATCACTGGGATTTTTTATGTAGGTATAATTTCCATTTCTTCGCATTTTTCACATATTTTATCGATTTCTTTCTAATGTTCTTAAATTATATATATACATATATGTATTAGGAATCATTTTTCAGATATTTTTGAACCAACGTAGAAATTTTTTTTTGCTGTTTTAAAAAAATTTGAATTTCGAAATAATATTCGAAAATTTTATTTTGTTTATGATCATATTTCTAGATATGATTGGAACAATTTAGCGATGAATTACCTTTTTTAAAAAGTTTCGTAATGGGAAATTCGTATATTTACATAATCCGTTTTCTACATGTTTTAATGTTTTTCGAAAGTTGGATTTAGTAAAGAACTATATAGTTTGAAGTTATGTTCGAAAATTTTAAAACTCAAAATATATGTATGTTCAAATGTGCGATTTTTGTAGCATTGGATAAAGGCATTGGTGGTGGGAAGAAATAAGAAAAATAATAATAAAAACCAAGATAAAATTATTAAATGCGTTCATAACTCGTATATACAATTTTTATCATTTCCTTAATATTTTTCTGACGTCTGACTTCTTTCTTTCTTTCCCTTTCCCTTACAGGACTTCAAAATTTTCCAGTAACAGACATCGGAAGCTGCAACCTTTTAGAGAAACGTGAGCCAATTCCACACCATTAGGCACTACGTTTTCCAATTTTTCCAAAAACTATTTATAAAACTAACAACTGCAGCAGCAAATATATAGCACTAAAACAAATAAATGTAAAGAAGAAGAAAAAACTAAAAAAAAAATAAAATAAAAATCTTTCATAAGATAAAAAAAAAAATTATCTACAATTATATATATCAAACAAAAAAGCCCAAAAATTCACTACCAAACCTGAAATTGGAGTGAAAATTGCATAAAAAAGTTTCAAAAAACTGGAACAACGTATAGCAGAACAGCAACAAAAATAATATAGCAGAACAACAACAACAACAACAACAGCAAAACTGTCAAAACACACAACCGAGTGCGATTTCCAAATCGCGTACTGAGTAGTTTTGATATAAAAATTCGAAGCAAAGCTCAAAAAATTGTGGAATAGATCCGCAACAACAACCAATAGCCGTCTTAAAGTAAATAAATAAATTTAAAGCAAGATTTGCACTAGAATAGTGGCAACAACAGCAACCGTCGGCCAAGTTGTCCATAATACTAACAAAATAAAGCGAAAAAGCAAATACAAAGCGCCAATTAAGGTGAAAACAAAAACGAACTTCATGAATTTATCAATAAAGAAGTACAATAAATCAAAAAATAAAATTTTAAGTCGTCCCCTAACGTCTTCGTCGGCATCGTCTTGGAGGGCGTTTCGGTGTTACGAAGTCAAAGTCGAAGCAGGTGGAGCAGCAGCAGCAGCAGCAGCAGCAGCAGTAGCTACCATAGGTTCAGCAGGTAATTTACTGATGTCCAGTGCCATTACTTGGTCACCTTGTTGAGGTTTTGAGTGCTTGAATGTCAAAAGCGTAAATAAAGAGAGCCACAAACTCACACGTACATACTCCGCCTTGTAGTAGTAAATTGGCTCGAAAAGCAGTAGCAGCAGCAGCAGCAGCAGCAGCAGTGAACGCCGTTCGAAGAGATTCGCCGTCGTACGCACACGAGCGTTGTCGCAAATCGCGAAAGCAGAAAACAGAAATCAGAAGCAAAAAGCAATTAATTTTCCAGCTAAATCTGTAGCGTTGATTCCTCACAAACTGTTTTTCATTTTTCATATGAAATCGACGGTGCAAGCGCAAGTGCAGCAGCAGTAGCAACAACAACAGCAACAACAGTAGTAAACGAAAAATCCGAAATCCTCAATTCGCTAAAATAAAAAAAAAAATATAAATCATTATTGAAGTATAAAAAAAAAATATATATCAAAAATCAATCACCGCATCGCGAGCAAAAGCGAACGAAAACCGTCAAAAAACAACTTTTGTTTGTCGCGTCGTGTTCCAGTTGAAAAATAAAGGAATATTGCCAAAATTACGCACAACAAGCAGCGCGATTTACTCTTATTATACACCGTATACATTTATATTCTTCTATATGCAAAAAAAAGCAACAAACACAATATTAACAATCAATTTTCAATTATCCGAAAAAGAACATAAAATTAAAATAATATAAAATTAACCAAAAAAAAAAAAAATATCTAAGCAAAGCATTTGTATACTCATATCCAAAGGAAAACCTTAAAACAGCAAAAATAACAGATAAAGAAATCAACAACAAACAATATGGGTTCCGTCAATGTAAATCGTAATGTCACCGACATTTTCTATCGCTATAAAATGCCACGCATCCAAGCTAAGGTCGAGGGCAAAGGTAATGGCATTAAGACCGTCATTGTGAATATGGCTGAAGTGGCGCGTGCCATTGGACGCCCGGCCACCTATCCGACCAAGTACTTTGGCTGTGAATTGGGCGCGCAGACACAGTTTGATTATAAGGTGAGTGGAATGAATCAATGAATTTATAAAAAAATATAAGATGGAAAGATTAATCAACGTATTTTTTTTTTTTGTAAGAATTTAGCGATTTTCTTCAACTCTTTTCGAACATTTTAAAATTTAATATTATGCTCAAAACTTTTATATTTTTAAGAATTCTATATATACGTATTTTTGGAACAATTAAGCGATTTTGAAACTTTTTTCGAACATATGTTCGAAAATCTTATGAATAAGAATTCTATTTCTAAGTATAATACTTAAATTTTTTTTTTTCGAATATTTTGAAATTCGAAATTATGTTCGAAAAAATTTTATGGATGAGAATTCTAATTCTACCGTTTTTAAAACATTTTATTTTTATTTTTATTTACAAATTTGTATTTTTTTCGGCAGTTGTTAAATTCGTAATTGGTTTCGAATATTTTATATGAATAAGAATACTATTTGTTGATATTTTTTTGAAATTCGAAAACTGTTAAATATTCCATTTCTTTGTATTTTTGCAACAATTTAAAGATTTATAGAAAGAATTTTTTTTGTTATTCTTGCAATTAATAGATTTTGTTTTTTTGCAGAATGAACGATTCATCGTAAATGGTTCGCATGATGCCAGCAAATTGCAGGATCTACTGGACGGTTTCATACGCAAATACGTCTTGTGTCCCGAATGCGATAATCCGGAAACTGATTTAACCGTTTCGGCCAGGAATCAAACAATTTCGCAAGCATGCAAAGCCTGCGGTTTTCACGGTCTCCTCAAAGTCAATCACAAGGTGAACACGTTCATTTTGAAAAATCCTCCAACTGTCAATCCGGCTGCACAAGGTTCCTCATTGACCGAGGGCAAGCGTTCGAAACGTGGCCAAAAGAAGAATGGTGAGAATGGCGTGGATGGTGATAAGGGAGCAAGCAATTCCGGCGGTGAGTCGGATGGCGGCAGCGGCAATCAGGCCAGTCAAACTGAGGCAGAAATTAGCGCTGCCATACCGGAGAAGAATGGGGATGACGATGATGATGATGCCAACTGGAGTGTTGATGTGTCGAAGGTGAGTGGAAGAGTGGATCGCAAAGGAGTGTGAAGTTCGTTCCTTTTACTAAATTGAAAATTTGTTTCTATTCAATCCAACAGGAAGCCATACGTGCACGTCTACAAGATCTAACCGACGGCGCCAAAGGCATGACAATCTCTGATGACTACGACAAAACCGAAAAGGAGCGTATCGACATCTTCTATGAGTTGGTGAAGAAGAAGCGTAATGCCGGTGAACTCGACTCTGTTGCCGTACACAAAGAATTGATGATCGAAGCTGAACGTTTGGATATTGTGACCAAGGCCACACTCGTCTTGGCCGAATTGCTCTTCTCCGAGAACATCACCCAAGAGGTGCGTAAGAATCGTATACTCTTGCTTCGCTTCACACACAACAACCCGAAGGCACAACGTTATCTCATTGGCGGCTTGGAGCAGATAATCGCATTGCATTCAGCCAAATTAATGCCCAAAGTGGCAGGTATCTTCAAACTTTTCTACGATTCGGACATACTCGAAGAGAAGGCCATACTCGAATGGTCGCAAAAGGTCAGCAAGAAATACGTGGCCAAAGAAGTAGCAACTGAGATACATGAGAAAGCCAAACCGTTCATACAATGGCTTAAGGAGGCCGAAGAGGAGGAATCCTCCGAGGAGGATGAAAACGACTCGGATGTGGAGATCGAATACAACGATCGTGCACGTGTGGAGCCGTTGAAGGCGGCTGCTGTGGCCACTGCTACCGCCAAGAAGATTGTCGACGACGATGACGAGGGTGAAGAGATTGACATTGATGACATCTAAAGTGGGACTATAAAAGAGAAAAGTAAACCAAAAGAAATAAATGTATGCATGCAGTAGAAGGCGGTGCGACGCTGCAGTTAAAAAGGCGAAAGTTTTGCTACGGAATTTAGTTTAAAAAAAAAAAAATTAATTTTTTTCTTTATATAATTTATGTAAACCATTAATAGCTCCACTACCAGCTATCGTTGATGTGCTACATTGCATTGCGACCTCTCATTCAATTGACTTCAAAATTTCTTTATTTTCCTCTTTTTTTTCTTAAATTTCTGCTTTCCAGTTCAAGTGACGCTTGCCTCACTCAGTCCAAGACCAGCGCACACCAACTGCTGCATAAATTTTTGTGTTTGCGCTTTTTGTCGAATTGAAATTTTTATTTTTTGATTTATAACTTGTTTTAAATTTAAGCCTTTTTCGCGTTAATAATATTTTTACCTAATTTTAAACGGCAGATGAAATGCAAGAAAAGATGCGACTTCGTATTTGCTTAGACACTTTGCTAATTATTTATACATACATACATACATACATACATATAAAAAATGAACTTGAAGAAAATTTTAAGAAAAAAAAATAATAATGATGCATGCACACCTTGAAACAAATGATCATAAATAAGTAAATGCAAACACAATATTTTTTAACGGTACTACATAGAATATAGCAACTCCGTATACACATACAAACATACAATATACATACATATTTTTCCAATAATGTTCTGTCTCTACGCTTTCCACACGATGGTAATGAATGCTTAGCGCGCTTACTTTTCCAAAAGAATAAAAAAAAAATATAAAAAATATTTGCAAAAATATATTGAAATGTTGGCGAAAGCCAACACACACACACATATATGTATACAATATTTTCCCAAAATAAGTAAAGACCTCCGCCACACGTACATGCATAAGTATATAGGAAAAGCGAGCAGCAAAGCTTTTGCATTTTTCAAACAAACTGTCGTAAATTTTGAAATTTATTATGCAAGTAAAAATGTAAAAAAAAAAAATATTTAAAAATAAAAATATGTAAAAAAAAAATAAAAAATTGTCGGTTTACTTAATTGAGCACGCGGAGGGCTAAATTTGAGAGAAACAGCGGGCAATGGTGGGCAACATAGAGCAACGTCTACTCACTTTAGTGGAGTCCTACCAAACCAAGCTGGAAAGACGAAAACCGCTATTCGATTTATTTTTGCTGAGCAGTGATTGTGTAAGAAAGAATGACTGTCATGTTGACCTAATTGGAGATAGGTCGCGTACAATCCTTGCCGGATAAAATATCCTTTTCCGTTGTGTAGAAAAACTGCTAACTCTCGAAGCTTTCCCACTTGTTGGAAACCTATTGATGCCACTTGGGTACCAGTTACACAGTGAAATACCAATGCTTCCGGTTATATTGTACCTTACAAGCTAGGATGCTACCGTAGTATATATAATTGGCGTTTTGTAACCGCTGAAGCGATTTTCGGCCGAGCTCTTCCTCCAATTTGTGGTTTTGCGTCGGGATGTTTTTCCAACAAATGGAGGGACCTACAGTTTATACTAAGCCGCCTCCGTACGGCTGTTGGTTTTCTTATGAGGAGCTTCATTTCATGTCAGAAATACACTCGGAGGGGAGAATATTCCCTGCCGAGGGACGACTGCAATTAGAAAATTTAATTTAATTTTTTATTTAAATTAATTTTATATAACATTTGGATGTTGGTCGCACGGCGATTTGAACCCGAGCCTTCCGAATGGCAGTATGCAATACTAACCACTCGGTTACCGCGGCCGCTACCGTAATAACCTGTTCAAAATTGAACCATCACCGAGGCAGATCAGAAAGGGGGAACTTGCACTAACGCACAACATTCATCACCACATAAAATTTCTGCAGGAAAGGACGAATTATCGACAAATCCTAAGCGCCCACAACATTATTAATTATCTACCCGTGAATGACATGCTCGAAACCACCACATGTAGCAGTCTAAAAGCTCGAGCTGCCTCGGCGGCAAACGAGTAACTGTGGCACAATTAAGGTCTGGATATCGTACTAGACTAAGCTCCTACCCATAGAGACTGGATTTGAATATACTTAACATATTGTCCTGCATGCAAAACGACCTGCACGCACGCCATCCTACATTTCCACGAAATTCCTCTCTCCCTTTTGTCCGAACCCGTCGAAACAGTTCGTTAGATGACCTCTAGGACATAGACTATCTCTCTGCACTCAGCGAAACTCGCTATCGAGTCTTGATGCTCATAACTACCTAATCACTCGAAAAATGTGCTTGGCTTAGGCCCGCCGACACACGCAAATTCTAGCGCACCGTACGGTCGACGAGCTAGTTAAAGGGGAAAGCAACCAAATTATAGTATATTCTGCACACGATGCGAGCAATGCTATAGCCGATCTTAGCCAGTCCATCCCAAGTGGTGCGAGAAGCTACGTGGAAAATATCTTCTTCCTCTAAGCCGGTTTTCTAATCTCCTCTGAGTCGGTATACTAAAAATTGGGCACACGAAAGGAGCAGCTGTAGGGACATTAAAGAAGAAGAAGTAATCCAGCTCGCAGTATCTTTGTTACAGTGCCGAATGCCAGAAGACAGTAAAGCAAAACGAAGATGGGACTCCAGATGCAAGGACCATAACACGATAATAGCTTATCTAGAGGAAGATTTGAGGCACCTGGAGTGGGGTATGTTTGAAAAAGACTTGCGGTCCTATAAGCAAACCCGTTACTGCATAACTCATCTTTTGACAGCACTAACTTTCATAAAAGCTCTCTCTCACACGCACTCACACATACACACAACACACCATCAGCGCCTGTACTGAAGAGTACATAAATCAAAAATAAAGATAAGTATGTACATACATATACATACATATGTATATGCACAATTTTAATAAGAGTTGTGAAATTCGCAAATTCTCAGCGCCTTGAGTTAGGCAATAAATTTCGTCAGTTCACACGACGACGGGTTGTAGCACGAGCGAGTATGCTCTTCCATACACACACACACGACTGCTCTACACTTAGTGATGCGATGTTTCGCGAGAGCGCTTATTGGAGAACACAAATACAAAGTAGAACAGAAAAAAGCTCCATCAAGAAGTATAGCGCCGCAGCACGAGCCAGCCGGCCTGCCTTATGAGGGGTTTGCTCAGTTCTGGTTTGTTTGTAGTTTGTATTGTTGGCATTGTTTGTTAGCTCTGTGCGCTTTAATTATTATACAATCGGACAAACAGACAGACGTGTCGCATCGTTTATATTTATTTGAGATGTTGCGAAGTTCTCTGCTGCTCAGTTGGTGCGTGGCGATGCGGTAGTTCGGTACGGTTAAGCTCTAGACTACACGACCGAGCGGAAAATAATATAAAATTTGTTTTTAAAAAACGGAGATTTCAATACTCACAATACTAGCTTTGGTTGCTTCTGAGCTTTGCCAGCGGACCGGTGGTGTGCGAGGGAAATGGATTTGATAAATTAAAAGGTGTTTGAAGAAAAAATCGTGCCCACAAATGTGTTTGCGTGTGCAGAAGACGCAGGAGAGTGTAGAAAAAGATGAATTATTTAATACATTTGCGCTCCAAGAAATTGTTAGTCGTGAAAATTAGCATAAAGTTGGCAATTTAAGCGTTTAGAAAATTACAAAGTGTTGGCAGGTGGCTGAGCAGTAGCAGTGACAGCGTCATCATCATCAAATCAATAAAGTTCATTACGTCTTGAATTGGAAGACGTGCACCGGCACAAAGCAGCAGCGCGTTAACCAGAAGATTCTGCACAAGAAAAAATCTGCTGACTTCGGAGGTCAATTAAAGTAAGCGCACTGCGTTTTATTCATTTCGTACCTACATAATTTTTTTGGCACAAACGAACTTCGCACTGGTACAAATTTACTCGTGTGCACATATGTATATACATATATAAGTATGTGTGTATAAGTGTCCATAGTTTGAACTAAAGTCAGCCGAGCAAAATTTTGATATTTTTTTATTTAAATTTCAGTTGTGTATATTTATTAGTAGAGATTGCAGCCTCAGCTATCGTTTCGATTATAATCGATAACTTTACAAAATGAAGTATAGCGACATTTGACTCATTCAATGGGATTCAATTAATTAGTCTATATTTTTTTTGCAATTTTTTTCGCTGGAATTTCGAAATTTGACGCGTAATTACGTACCCTGGGCTTGAAACCCAGCTCCGAATGAAAAAAGAGCCAACAGCCGATGATGTGAGACCTGACGACAATGTTGACGACCAAAGTAAATGTATTTTCAGTTCCTGCACCTGCAATATGATAGGTTCCGGTAACCAGCTGGTCGATATCCTTGTCGAAATTAAGGTTAGGTTGGTAGTCAAGAAGCTGGGTCCTTGTTAAATATATTACTACAGTGATCAACAAAGAGCGCAAATCTTTAGCTGGATCTGTGGTGGAAAAGAGACCTCGTTTTCCTCATGCCTAAAGATGAACGTGTCGTCACAATCAGACATTAACTTCAGTGTTGGCACAACAGTCGGAAAATCCAATCTCCATGGCGAAACATCAGCAAAGGCCAGCTTCCGTCCGACTACGCTGCGGTATATAAATGAGAGCACTCTTCAGAAACTTGAGGTAGGGGGGCAGAGAAATGGAATTTTAAGCTCCCTACGTACCGCACGTATAGAATAATTTTTATAATGCCAGAAAAATAGCAAATTAACTGCAGTGGGAAGAAACAATTCAACACAGTTCTATGAAAATATGCGGCGACTTACAGAAAGTTTCAAAAGCATACTCATGTAAATACAGAGAAGGTAATTTGGCTACCAGAACATACTGAATTTGTGGAAGAAACACTTCTCCATCCTACTAAATGTCAGTGAAAGTGCAAAACCCGAAAACGTAGAACCCCAAATCAGTAGCGATGGAAGCAGAGAAAGAGTTAGAATAGGGTTTGGCTTCTTTTTTGTGTCACCAATCGACATCGCACTTGTTGACCAGAAGAATAATTTTATTTCAAAAGAAAGTGTAGCTTTGTAGCTCTTTCCGTCGGTGTATGTATGTATAGTATATGCCTTTATTGTTGCTTCAATTATTACTTTCATTATAAACAAACACACAACCTTAAATTCCATGGAATATTCGTCGTTTAGGTATTCTCCCTTACGATGTTCTTCTCAAAATTATTATTATACAATTTTTGCAATTTATTGTATTTACAATGGCAGAGCAACCATAACTTTCGGCGCATTTCCAGTTAATAAATCGTTAATGGAAATGTCTGTTTGATCTTACAAACATACAAACGTGTATTTGTTTATAAATAAAGCTAATTTTAAGTTTGTGTGGATGTATGCACGTACATACATATGTTATGTTGCTGAGGAAACCAGTTGAGTTAAGGCTACCACTTGTTTATGTTTATAGTTCGCCGCGGCAATAAAACTAATAAAAACTCTGAATTTGTACATACATACACACATATGTATGTATATACTACTATTTATAAACCCATAGTCTGTTCCTTTTCACATCGAAATTCCATATGCAAATATTTATTTAACACGTTCTTGCCAGTTATGGTAACAAAGTTCACACGTGCACACATACACACAATTGCTATGCAAATTTCGGGCTCATTTAAAACACCTATTTGTTGATGCTAGAGTTATAACGTCTTCTTGTTTTCCTTTCCGGGAAATCGGAGCAACTGATTTTACACCGCCACCTGAGGTTATGATCTGTTTAACGAGTTCCAATGAAGCTATCTTCTTGAAATTATGGTAGGTCATATAGAATTTACTGCATGAAATGACGGCCAACTTACTCTTCTTATTTCATTGAGTTTTGATTTTGCGGCAATCTCTGCTTTTCCAGGAAATTTCTTTTTTTCACATCCTCGTCCTGTCACTTGTTGAAACTAATGCCTTGAAAAGGGTGATTGTGGTGAAATAGTTTACTTCCGTTATACCATTGTCATTTCAATAATAATGTGTTTACACTTGGCTCCATTTGTTCTATTGGGCATGTGGATAATTTTGTCGCTTTTTAGTAATATGAATTTTGCTTTATTTATTGTTAAAAAGTTTGTAATTGATTGTAATTACTCGCAAATGTCATTATAAAAATTGCCAAGGCAATTAAATAATTAGGTAAAGTCGAAATTAGTATGAAATAGTAAAAAAAAGTCTTTTTTTTTTCTTTTTACAATAAAGGTTTACATAGATACACTCGTGATTGTTGGTAGCATAGGAATATTATACAATATTTAAGCTTAAAAACAAATATATTGGATGAGTGCATAAGTTCGTGCCCGATTCCGCTGGATGCCGTTCGAATCGTTTGAGAGTGGCGCTCGTGAAAGAAATATATACATATTATATATCGTTGGAAAGGTGACAGTCCGAACTGTAAATCAAGCATAAAATAACTTCATTTTGATTTGAGTTGCTTAGNCGCGCAATTTTTATGAATCAGGCATCCGTAAATTGGTTAACCGTTGGGAGTGGATTGCCGAACATGATGGCGAATACATAATTGATTAATAAAAGTGCTTTCATCAAAAAATTTCAATTTTAGTTTGCACTTGAAATCGGGCACGAACTTATGCACTCATTAATACTTAACCTCAGCAATTACAACCTTTTTGAGGTGAAAAAGCATAACTCCATTAATAGAGTAATTTAAGAATTTGAAAATTATGGTAAATGTAGATACAGTTATTACTAGCAAAAAAGAAAAAAAGAAAATTGGCACATAATAAAAATGTACTTTTTCAGTAAACAAATATAAAATCATCGCAATAAAAAGTTAATAAAGGGTAGACTTTTATTGCTTTGTATTTATATTTCAACACCTATGTGTTTATTATGCTATATTAGCTGTTCTGAGCATTTCAGATTAACTATGAAAAAACCTGTTTTCTTAAAAAGAAATGCTTAACTTTTCAGAAAATAAGAAAATGCATAACAACTTGTTTGAATGTTTCACGAGAATAACATTTTGTAACTATTTATTGCTTAATTTTGTTTTTTGTAATTATCTATTGGTTGAACAGCATAATAAATCCAATAAGCTTTGTGTTGTAGATTAAAGTTTCATAAAATAAATATCAAATGGGCGAGCACACTCGAAACACACAGCTATTAACTCCAACACTCGGTCGCAGAATTTTATGAATTCATTTGCTTTTATAAATTTTCATTTATATTGCAATCGCGTGCGAGTGCAAAAACAAACGTCATTCTCGTCAACACGAATCACCATTGCAGACACAGGCGACGGCATGCCGCGGACCATTTTTCCATCTCTGCTCATGACTATTTGCAACGATATAATATTAACAATAAGTAGAACAGTTATACAATGCCACTTAAATGGCTGCTTTTATTTTAAAAATGCTTTAAAATCACTTTTTCCAATTGTAATTAAGTGATTAAGGACACTTTGCTTGTTTTCAAACTCAACAAGGAGAATTTGTTATCACTTGCGTGTATCGATTATCGATATTTTCTAAATAAAAATACCAATTGGCGTTCAATGGTAGACTGAAATGTTGTTAACATTTGTTTGTAACTTTTTTACTAAAAACTATTTAAAAAATACCAAAAAAGGTTAGTAATAGTCACAATCAGCTACTGTGAGTGATATGAGTGCACTTCAGTATACTTAATTAGCTGTATTATTATTTAGAGAACCCATAGGAGGTGCTCATCTCAAGTGATCCACTTTATAAATACTTAAAATTATTCTATATTAACATATTGCACTTCAGAAGATTTTGCCTTACACAGAAGACTTTCAATTTTCAGACCTCCAATGGCGTTTGGCAATGAATTTTTTCTAATTTACCAAAATAAAACAATTGAAAATGTGCAAATAAGAACTTTAAATAAAAAAAAATGTTTTGTTCAATGAAAATCTAAGAGAAGTGCCTATAAAAGTGATACATTTTTAAATTATTCAAAAATTGAAATCCAACAGCAGTTTATTTTTCAATATGGTTAATGGTTTAACTAAATCTTAAAATCAATTTCCACTTCCGGCGGCTTTCAAATCAACTTATTTCATTATGAGAAAATAGTGCCAGCAATGTGTTTGCGTTTTGAAGTTGGTGGTTATGAACATGTGATTTTAGGAAATGAAAATTAACAGAAATTTTCAGTTTAAATTTTTATTTTCGAAATTCTGATTCAATTGAAGTGAGAGGAACTGGAAAAAGATTGAATCCGTTCGCATGTATTCCCAATTTATATTTCACTCTGAGTAATCAGCTGTTGCTTAGAAGGAAGCAAGGTTGTATTTTAAACAAGTCTGCGGATGGTATAGACGAAAAGAAAATCTGAAATTTAATACTCGTACATATGTATGTATATACTAATGCATAGATATATATTTTTTTGCCACAAGTGGAGCAACCAGCAGTTTTGAGCCGCCAGCAAATAGCTAATGGATTTTTTTTGTGAAGCTTTCCTTTTCATTGCCGAAATATACTCAAAGCTTTTGACGTTCCCTACGGAGGGATGAGTGCATTTAGACAAATCTTGTGAGGAGTCGATTCACGGACGCCTAACACTGCGTTCTCTGAGGAAATAAATAGCACCGAATCCAGTAAAACAGGTTTCGTTCTCCTGATGAACATATTTGTTTTCTGCTTCGATATTTTATAAGCGTTTAATCGTATAAACTAATTATCTTTCCGCCTAGTTTTCCATCAAAGTTTACTGAGCCATAAAGATTAGGAAATTTCAAAGTTGATATATGATAAATATTTTATGTAAATATACTTTTTAAATTATGGCGCAGATAAGATATTTCCAGCTTCACTAAATGAAAACACTTGAGAATGATAATAATAGACTGATTAATACTAGAACGCAAGCTTCATTCAAAAACCTTCATTCAAAAAGCCAAACTTTTAGTATTTGCGGGCGCACCAAAGAGTCCACAAGCGGACTTTTCTTACTAATATAATTTTCCACAGTTACTTGAAATTTTCCGTTTTTACCCCACAGACCTATTCAACTGCGCCACAGAATGACTGCCGTTACTATGGATGTGACCAAGCTGCCGAACTCGCATGACGGTATTGAGGTGCAAATGGATAGCTTAGACTCGAGTCACGCTTTTACAAATTCACTGGAAGATCCCAATCCGCCCAAAACCAATGTGTTCAAATCGAAAATATTCATCGTTGCCGTCACATTTTCCAGCGTACTCTTTACCATTATGTGTATCGGTTTTCTGGTGCATTACGAAATGACCAGCGACGTGATTACCGACGAAGATATACCCTTCTGGAATGTAAAACTACCGCCAGAGCAACAAGTGTGGTATGAGAAGGGCATTGAAGAGTTGAAGATTGCGATGAGTCGGGAAATTAATCGACGACGGGCTAAGAATGTTATACTCTTTGTGGGCGACGGCATGGGTCCGAACACGGTGACCGCAACCCGCATTTACGGTTTCAAAGAGGAGGGTCTCTTGAGTTGGGAGCGTTTTCCGCACATGGGCTTGCTGAAGGTGAGACGTTTTTGTACTCTGAAAAATGTTCTTTTTTTTACTTTGCTTTGATTTTTCCAACTTACAGACCTATTGCGCTGACAAGCAAGTGCCCGATTCATTTTCCACTGCAACGGCGCTCTTCGGTGGCGTTAAAGTCAACTATGAAACGGGTGGCGTTGACGCCAGTGTCACGCTTAATAACTGCAGCACTTCATTAGATCCGGCACATCATGTGCAAACGATACTCAAATGGGCGCAGGTGGACGGCATGAACACCGGTTTCGTGACAACAACGCGCGTAACACATGCAACACCAGCGGCCTTATATGCGCATACGCCCGATCGACGTTGGGAGTGTGAGGCGAAGATGTCTGCGCAGGCGCAACAAGAGGGCTGCAAGGATATTGCAAAGCAGTTGGTGGAGGATGAGACGGGTCGTAAAATAAATGTTATCATGGGTGGTGGACGTCAAATGTTGGTTTCCGGCGTGGAGGACACTCAAGCGGATCCGATCGACACTTGGGCTTGTATTTCGGAAGACGGACGAAATTTAATCAATGATTGGAAAACATACAAACAACAAGCAGGTCAACGCCATGCAGTCGTGCAAAATAATGGTGAACTCAACGCGTTGGATGGCGACTCAGTGGATTATGTACTGGGTGTTTTTGCAAACGGTCACCTGAAATACGATCATGAACGTGATCGCAGCGATGCAGGCATGCCATCTTTGCGCAATATGACCGTAAAAGCGTTGGAAGTACTGAAGAGCAAAGATAAGGGCTTCCTGCTCGTCGTCGAGGGCGGCATGATCGATCAGGCGCATCATCGCGGCACAGCAAGGCGTGCGCTTAATGAAGCGCTGGCGCTAAATGAAGCTGTCGAGGCAGCGGTACAGGAGATGAGGTGTGTGTGTGTGCAGTTTACTTTTTTTAAGAAAATATGTTATTTGTTTTTTTCCGTAGTGATCAACTGGACGAAACTTTGATTATCGTAACTGCTGATCACTCACATAGTTTAACCATAAATGGCCATGCGGAACGTGGCGCCGACATATTGGGCGTAGCTTCAACCTCCAAAACCGAAGGCACGCCCTACACAACGCTCACGTACGGCACCAGCTACAAAGGTTTCCAACCTGATGCTAATGGTAAGCGCGTAGATCCTACAACACAGGACACCACAGCTTGGGAGTATACACAGCAGGCAGCCATTAATACCGATGAAAATTTGCATGGTGGTTCCGATGTAACCATACACGCCAAAGGTGAAGTGTGGATAAGCACTTATCGGTTACTCTAACTAACCAATATTCATCTTATTTCTTCCAACCCAGGTGCCATGGCCTACTTGTTTCACGGCGTACACGAACAGAGCTATGTGGCGCATGTCATCTCGTACGCTCTACGTATTGGGCGCTTCCGTGATAGCACGATTACCGAGTCTTTGGCGGATCTAATGCCGTTATAGTATAAAATTAAATTGGCATAATTAATAAGTGGTCGTGGAGATAGAAATAACTAAATAAACGCACATGAAAGTCAAATTACGTATATATGTAGATGTGTACTTAAATGACGTACATACATGTACACGAGATGTTTAACCGTATTTTTATTGGAATTTTTTCTAATTCTTTGATTTTTCATCACCTCGAGTAGTTAAAATTTGTATGCGTACTTAGGAAATAAATTAAATTTAAGTATGTGTGTAGTAAAATACAATTTATACGTTAGATGAAAACAAACCGTTATTTATTGATTGTGATGCTGTATGTATGCCATTGTTATTTATTTAAGTTGAATAAAAAATCAATCGACGAAAGTTTTCAGAATGATAAAACGAAGACGTTGAATTTTCTTTTTCGGAAGAAGTTAGAAATATGCAGATTTCGATCTCTCTTGCCTCTGATTTTGTTTTTTTTTTTACTTGTATTAAACTTAGTTATTTTTGTTTCCAGGCATGGAAGCTCATATTCAGGGAAGTAGTAAACAGCGATAACAGACATATACTTGCATACATACATATATAAAGATATTTGTGAAAGCGTACCCACCTTGAATTTTCGAAAACTGGAAAATGCATTTCTCCTAATCGGAATTCAAGTAGCAGTGACATTCATATCAAATACTCTAGATTCCGCGACTTCGTCAATTGCATATGTATGTATACACATTCTTTTTATTGTATATATGTATCTGTTTAAGACTGAAGACTGCTACGGATTTCCGGCAATTGCATATCCTGCTTCCCTTTTCGGAATACTATTCCCATTAGTTACTTTATTTTTAATTCACTCTAGCTTGAACAGCTGCACTGTACAATTTATCCATTATTTTTGACGATTTGCTCTCACAAAAACACTACGTAACATTTTTACTTTAAAAAATCTTTAATTAGAACACAATTCACATTTTTTATTCAAATAACACCAGCATGCACAATGAACACTGCCAACTGATGTAATCTATTAGCAGAATTTTGTTTATGGCAACACCACCCGGGTAAAGAACATAATCAGCTGTAGCTGAAACAGTGTTGCTTACAAACCTACTGTTACCCAAATACAAAGATTTTTTACTATATGCAGAACATTTCATAATTAATGAAAGTTTTACAAACGCCTGCGTGTTTACTATAAAATTATTCATTTGTTTTGCCTTTAAGCTAAAATTAGCTTAAGATCTTTAAATAAAGTTTAAATTTGTTGAGAAGTGCCACAAATAAGCGAAATAGGCAACACTTGCCAGCGCGAATCACTCGCCTGCTGATTTATTTATTTTAATTCAGTGTATTTGGTTTTAACGCAAGTGCAGCTCTTTATTTTATTGGCTGTTGGTGTTTTTTTTATATAAAAATAGGAAAATAATACCTTGGCTTTACAGGGAATATTATTAAAGCAACAAATTACTTTTCCCACCTTGTGCAAGCGGAGGCAGTGAAGCAAGACGCAACGACAGCCAACTTCGACGACGAGTAGGTGCTAGTGATTTTCAGCTCTAACTACAGTATATAAGTCTATGAATATATGGATTTATAACCTTCTCTTGTATGAATATTTATATTAATAAGTAAACTATTGAGTAGAGCAAACAAACAAAATTACCCAGTAACAATAAAACATATGCAGTTGAAAACCCAAACATATGGAAAATTATATGTATACATGTTGTAAGCAATGATGCATTGTTGAGCAAATGGAGTGGAGTGTAGTGGTGTGCAGTGCTATTACGTTATGGTGTGGTGGGGTGTAGTGGTATGGTCATAACCCAAACGCCGGCATAAGTCATTGAGAATTTCTGCTTACAAGTGTATACTGCAATAAACTGGTGCAGTTGCTAAGATAAAATATAAACGTTTTTGATTGCTCTAAGTGATAACAAATAGTTTTGATAAAGTTTGTGAGTAAAAATGCGTATATTCTCAATTTGTTGTTGAAGCAGAGTGCTGAAGGTTGTATATACTCCACTTTGTCTATTACATACTACGCTATACTATATAAGTGTAAATTAATAAAATATAATAATTTTTCTAGGCAAAACAGGGTCATCAGGTTCATTATCACTATCGGCAGCAGAAAAATTAACATCCATTCATCACATGCACATTTCAAATAATTTATATACTACATAAGAAAATCTAATAAGCATTATTTAAAGCTTGTAATAACAATATATAGTGAAGCCATCTTTGACTTTATGATACTGGCATGAGATTATGTATGTCTGCTGCTCCAAATTCTAGACGTCAACACTCTTGCATAACATGCTACACACGCGCATTTAAACGAGTGGAAATCCATTTTGGTTTTAATACACCTACGCTTACAGCTAAGTGTGCGCTTCTTTACCAACTGAAGGAGGGTGTAAGAGAGTGTTTCTGTCTGCTACTTCTACCAGAGCGTTGTCTGTATGGCGGAACAGCGAAGAAAAAAATAATACGAGCACTTTAATATCGTATTTTGTTTTTGTAGAGTAGTGATGTTTTAGTGTGAGCTTTTACTTACTGATGCCAGTTGCAAGAACCTAACAAAGGGAGTTGGTATGTCCTATTTGCTGCCCTGCTTGTCATTACATTGGTGTGTAGCCAGCTTGTCATCATGAAAAATTGCAAAATACAAATATTGTATAAATATATGTACATATTTGTTATAATCTGCCTTGAGCGCACATTAATTTAAAGCTCTATTTCCACACCCGCTTCGGTGCAATAAAGCATAGCAATACATATAACATTGGCAAGGGTAAAAATTTCAATTGTCAATTGTAAACGAGCTAGTCGCATACATACAAACACTGCCATTGCACTGCTCTATAAACCACTTTCGGCTTTTGTCATTTGAAATATGTAGATATGTACATATATAACGAATGAAATCAATTTAAGCAAATAAAGCTGCTCTTACATCATGCTTAGTTTGTTTAGCTATAAATGTATGTATGTATGTGTATACATATTTCCAAACAAATAAATTTCTAAGTAAGTTAGAATGCATGTGTGCATGTTTCGTTTGTTTGTTTGTTTGTACGTGCTCTCCATGCAGTGGTTGATTTCTAATACATACATATATACTCTCATAAACATAGTCATTTGATCATCGCCATAAAATGTGTATAAAAAAAATGATTTTCTTAAATCATTTAAATTTATGCAGAAAAACTTGTGTAGAATTTCACAAGGCGTGAAAAATGTAAATAGAATGTACGTTTTTATATAATAATTTTTTTTTAATAATAAGCTAAAAGTGTTTGCAAAATTTATGAATAATATTTTCTTAACTAATGTTAGTTCTATTATTAACGCTATGACTCTCGCTTTTGTGGGCAAAAAGTTCTTTCATAAGACAACTTCTTCAAATTTTCTCCAAATTTCTCCTCCAACACGCTTTCGAATGAATCAACTGTAAATCCTTGCACTATAAGCGTTCTATATAACCAAATTGTGCTAAGAAAAGTTCCAATAAGTACAACAATAAAGTATTTCTATCAATCTCACTTGACATTTCTCTTGTCTAACCCAGCTTTTAGCTAAGGTACATAAACACATAAAATCAGTTGGTTATTATTGTCGAATAAACCTTTTATTATGTATTATTTGTCCCGCTGTCTTTAGTCTCTCTTACTTTGTATACCTTTTTTTAAGCAATAACAAGCCCTTCTATGTTTGTATGTTACCATTTGGCGTCCGCATGTCTGCGAAGCTGATTCTACGGCGTCATTTTACTGCACACACTGCATACGATTTCGTCATTTTGAAGATTTCTTTTGCCAACAAATGATGCACACCAGCTTACATACAAACAAACACACATAAAAGTGCTAATATGCATATGGGCGCCCAAAAAAATGTGGCGTTCAAGTATTTGGGGTGAGAGAAGAATTGAAGTAGACGAAGTGGAAGACGCACATACATATGCACGTAACTAAGTCAAGGGCGTATGAGTAATTTTTATATTTTGTTTTTGTTTTCAAACCAGAATATATCGACCAAAGCAGCTGCTCTTAGGTGTTAGACATATTTATTGCTTAGAGATTGTTATAAAAATTAATTTAATTAGCTTTAAGTTGTATATGTACATATGGGTATATTTTGCAAATAATGCAATTGAGCTGCTAAAATGATGTCTTATTCTGCAGTAAACTTTTATGAGGACATATGTATACATATATAGTATGTATGTATGTACGCACATATGTATGCATATTGATTCTTTTTCGTTTCTTTAACCGACACCTTTAACCTAATGTTAATAGGTATTCTATTATTGTATTGTAAACTAAAAAAATAAGAAAAAACCAGAAAAAAAAGAAGCGCATGTGACACAGTCTACACTCTTCAAAAGTCTTATCATTTCCCTTATCACTTAATTGAGTGTTTTATTCGTACCAAATAGCATCTCTAGTTGGCAGCGCATGAGAGAGAGCTTGTATAACTGTTAAGAATATATTGTATATGTGTATACGAATGAGGTGAGGCGAAAATATTTAAAGGCCAAAATAATTATTTTTTTATGCGAAAAATGTTTGATTAAGTCACCAAAAAAAATATATATGTATATAATAGCGCTGCAGAGCAATAAAAGTGTCCTTTAGCGAGTGTCAGAGCACACAAAATGAATTCAATATTTTACCTTAGCCGTAGTCTTTACAGGCCTTTTCTTTGCCCTTTACAAACTTGTAATTAAAAATAAATTCCCTTATTATAATTACAGCTACACGCCAGCGAGCTTGCACACATCTCCATAAATTGTAAAATTCCACCATAACTGTGTATATAAAATAAAAAATAAATAAACAAAATTAAAAACCTACGAGGCTTCCCTCCATTAACGACGCACAAGCAAGTGACTCGTTCCACAACAAACACCACCGATAGCACAAAGACGCAGAGAGAGAGAGAGAGAGAGAGAGAGAGAGAGAGATTGGCAAAGAAAGAGAAATAGAGAGTGGGCGCAGAGACACCGAAAAAAAAGCATTCACTAGCGCCACAACCAACTCGCAACAATGGGCGCTAATACCGTCCTACAACAGCGCCTGCGTGGCAGTGGTTGCTACATGTCCTTGGCATGTTCCATTGGCTCAATGGGATTGGCCTGTGGCAGCCTGTTGCAGATACCCAACATAACAGATCGCATTTCACTGCAGCGTGGCCTCTTCCTCACCTCATTAGGTTTCATCTACTTCGTGTCGTTGACCGACTTTTGCAATAAGTACCTGTTGAATACGAAGCATGGCTTGCAATTTCGTAAAAAGTATCGCCTTATGATGTCCGACGTGCTGGAGATTACGAATAAGTGAGTACAAAGTAATTATTTTTGTTTCCTTTGTTATTTTTTTTTTTTTTTAATTTATTTCATTCAACAGTCATGAAATTTTACCCAATGCAACACAAAGCATTATTAAATACTTATCTACCATAAAAACGTAATAAAATTACATTTTTGATTTTTTTGATTTGAAATCCAAATTTCTTATCTTAAATACAAAATCGATAAGAAAAAAATAAAAAAAAATTATAAAACTGTTGTCAATAGTACGCTGTTCGACATAATAACGGTAAATTTTATTACTGCTAACTCTTTAATATAATTCTTCTTCAATGCTAAGAAAATTTGATATAAAACAGGAAGAGAATAATCAGCCTAAGAAGCCCGAAGCGCCTACTTTAACTTCTTTCTGCTACATGTAAGAGCATATTCATTACAGTGACTCCAATAGTCCCCAATATTTTTTATGTCATCCTCATGTTGTTATCATTTACAGTTTGTGGAATCATTTTCCCAATTACTTTTGAAACATAATCTTCCTTTGGAGAGTTTGATCCATATAACCGTTTTTGGTTCTATTTCAGCCAAGCTTGCTCTATTTCGCGACAGCATGGCCTTGTTCCACCTTGAAGATGGCCTGACTTTCGTAAGTAGCAGTTTGCATGCGTGTGACAAAAGGGATACTAATGAGTTCTTTATCCGAAAGAATCTGCATGGTCTTTCCCTGCCTAGAAGAAGTTCATTTCTGCTTCTCTGCCTCTATGACTCAAACTGAGAACAAAATATTCCGTTCAGCCATCTTCTGACCTATGCCGCCAGGCACTGCAGGAATTCAGTAATATATTTCAGAACTGCCTACTGAGACGAGAGACACCAACCACCTCTTTTCAAGTGCCATAAAACCGACTCATCAACACCCTTTTCTCCGGGTTTTTACACGTCGAGCGAGCTTGTTTCTTCGTCTCGTCCTCCAGCTAGAGGATTTCGTCGACATCAAGTTCATCTAGAACAGTCCTGGAGCTTTTTTTTTTACTGTCTAGATGTTAGTGTAAATGGAAATGCCTTTTCTGGTTATTGTTGTTGTTGCGATGTTAAATGAGTTCGTTGACAATTAGGTCTTATTGTAGTTTACAGCTAGCTGGCCAGCGGAGATGTTGCCCTTGGATGAGTGAGTGAACTAATCCACCTTTAGGTTTCGAATCGTTTCACTAAGTTGGTATTGGGGGTTACTGAGCTAACTGAAGCTTGAAAAAGTTGTAGCCACCGGAGCGAATCTTCGAAAATCCCTTTTGGTATATACTTTATAGCAATACTTTCCAATGTGTGAACCTCGAAGTCTCGTGTGGGCGGATGTTGAGCTTCGATGTGTAAAATTCTTATTTTGAACTTCGCAGGATTCCATTTTTCCCCCTTTGTCGAGCTCAACATCTCTTTGGCTCTTATTATTTTACCCACAACTGTATTTTATCCGATTTATTTTAATTAGAATTAACGAATCAACACATTTTCTGATAACTTAATACCGATACACATTCATATATACATACATATGCATGTACATATGTACAATATATACACTTTAATGTCGATTTTATTATTTTGAGCATAAAATTTGTTAATAGCCAGGCGCGGCCGTCAATTGCTCTTACTGACGAATTATATTATTAAATATTAATTTTGTATCTATGTATCTATGTATAGACAAAATACTCATTAAAATTGCCAAAGACTATATACGAGGTGTGTTCAAAAAGTATTGCGAATTTTGAATTTGATGATTTGATGATGCTGGCCCCGTGTGAATTTTTCTTGTTCCCTAAACTGAAGAGGCCCATGAAAGGACGACGTTACGCTACGATTGACGAGATAAAGACGGCATCGAAGGAGGAGCTGAACAAGACAAAAAAAAAAAAATGATTTTTTGAAGTGCTTCGAAGATTGGAAAAACCGTTGGCACAAGTGCATAATATCTCATGGTGATCACGTTGAAGGGGACAAAATAGATATTCATGAATAAATAAATAATTTTGGGAAAAAAACAAAATTCGCAATATTTTTTGAACAAACCTCGTATGTTTGTATACACGTGATTACATTTTGTTAGTTTATAGAAATATTAGGAGGGTTGGTTGGTTGGTTGGTTGGTTGTTCGCGTGCTTATTGCGCTGGGCGTCTGTCTGTTTACCATGAGAACAAAAAAAAAAATCACACTACATTGACTCGCGGTAGTGGAGGGCAAGGAAAATATGATTATCGAGTGCTGTTGTTTACTTTGTCAAATTTATCAATATAGAAAAATACTGAAAATAGAAGAGTTTTTCGAAAACAGGTGGTATTATTCAGTGGAAGCGTATAAAAAATGTCATGAAATGTCGTAAATGAGGCGAAGTGGACTCCACAATTACTTCTTTGCACAAATTATTTTTTTATTTTTATTTGCATTGCTTCGGCTTTGAACTCTGTCTTTTTTTTGTGTGCGCTTCGTTCACTTATTGCAAATGCAAATTTTTGCAATTGATTGCACTTTGGCACCCAGTTCACTTCGAATGCATTAGTTTTAAATAGAATAGAATTTTTTTTGTTTATTTCTGCGCTTTTTGCTACTCAACGCGAGTGCACTTTTAATTGAATTCTGTATTTGCATTGATTATAAGTGGAAAAAGTGTTGGGTACAGCGACTAATCGATGGAATCTTAGCTTTATTTTCTTATTTGTTTTTGCATATTTTTCTTATCTTTTTAAGTTTTTTATTTTTAATTTTTTGTTTTTAATTTTTTTTCTTACATATTTGTTTTTGGTTATTATTATAATTCTATTTTTTATTTATTTATTCTTGAATTTTTTATTTTTTTTTAGTATTATAATTTTTAATTTTGGTTATTTATTTTATTTTTTAATTTTTATTTTTTTAGTTTTTTATTTGAATTTTATGTTTTATTTAATTCTTTTTATTTGTGATTAAAATTTTTTTCATTATATTAATTTTAATAATTTTTTAGATTATAAATTTTATTATTCCGTTTTCTATTTTTTAATTTTACATTTTTAGTTTTTTTTTAATTCTTTTGTTTAGATTTTTATTTCATTTATATTTTATTCAGCCTTTTTTTTAATTTGTTGTACTGTTTAATTTGTCTTTTTTTAAATTAATATTATTTTTAATTTAATTTTAATTTTTAATTAATTTTTTCATTGAATTTAACTTTTTTATTTATTTTTTCAATTGTCTTATTAAGTTAAATATGTTATTTTATTTGTATTTTTTTTTTACTTATTTATATCTTTAATTAATATTTTTAATTTTATTTATTTATTTATTTATTTATTGTTTTTATTTATTAATTTATTATTTTTTTAATTAATTTTTTTTTTTGAATTTTTTTGCTTATTTTTATTTGTTTAATTATCGCTATATTCCCTATATTATTTAATTATGCTTATATTTAACTCTGTATTTGCTACATCTGTTTTTTATTTATTTTAATTTTTTATCCAATATATTTTTTTTAAATTTAATTATTTATTTATTTATTTTTTTATTAAATTTAATTATTATTTTTATATTTATTTATTTTTATCCTGCGTCCATATTCTGATGGTTTGTAATATATTCATTTGAAATGCCTCCGTACTTAAATATAACGGTATGTTTGAATAAACCCATGTTTCGAGCCAGCTACCAGCTTCCAACCTCAAACGTATTGCTCTCTTGTCTCAATTCATTTCGAGTGGGTAAACTGTGTCGGTTGAGCACCATCTACTGCGAATGTTAGCAAACTTCGAGTTTTTCGGTTTGAAATATTTGTCGGAAGCAACAATGCACAACGATGACAGCTTCATCAAACTTATTGGAGAGAGGTAACTTCCTGAGACCCATGCTATGTCATGTTTCCCGAAAGAGGCAACTAAAGTCTAATAGTTCTCGCTACAGTAAGATCTTTATACCAAAACGACCCGGATCTTTCTCCGTCAAACGACTCTCAGAAACCTACGAACTTAGCATTGCAAACGGAATATTCTTATGACAGCTGTTGATTACTGGAAATAGTATCCCTTGCCTCTTTTCGATTGAATCCCGAGCTTCACAACTGCTGTTGCAAGCCGTGAGGAGATTTTTCGCTTTAGAGCTTAGATTTTGTAAGCTTCTGAAGCTGCTTCTTGGTCTTAGAAAAATTGGATCAATTCTGATGCTCAGAACCGGCTGTCAAGAGAGTCGTCTGAAGCTACAGATTAAATTTAAAAAACTACACGAATAGTTCAACTTTTGTATTATGAGTTTACAGTTTTTTTTTTACGAAAAATTTTGCAAAAGAAAATTAATTATGCACACAATAATCCAAATTAAGGCTTACATTTGCGACTTTCAAACGATTGGTGCGGCGAGGCAACCACTCACTCACTATTTTAAGCTCATTGTCAACAATTTCTGCGGCTCCGGGCTATTTGTAGTGCCAAGGCGAACATTTCGCTCAACGCATTTCGCTGGTTGGGCGACTTTTGTACGCTTCGCACGCGGCTTACGCTGTATTAGGTCGCGCAGTGTAATTGGCTTGTGAAATGAGATGGTAAAATCACTGCTCACAGGCTCCATTTTCATTGGGTCGCATATTTGCGCTGCCGCTACGTGAGAGCTCTGGCGCTCGATGGCGGGAAGCTTCTTTACGATATCATAATCTCTTTCAATTTGTTCTTTTTTATTTTTTAACCCATTTTCCATTTCTCTGTGGCGCTCAGAGAGTGAGGCGCTCGACGCGCTACTTGAACTTGCCGACTCGTTACTGCACTGTGTTTGCTGATCGATGTGTGGTGATGGTTTATCCTGCTGGGGTTTGCTGCTGCGCTTACCGCGTCGTCGAAAGGTGTGGTAATGGCGTTGGATTTTCTTTCTATTGACTTTTTGCGCTTTCTCTTGACCCTTCTTCGACGTTCTCGGCATATCTTTTGTGTCTGCATTGAATGTCTCATACGCTGCTTTTGGTTTCGGAAATGCTTGCGTGAGTCGTTGTTGCAGTGAAATGCAAGTGTTG